ATTAACAAGAACATAAATTATTTCTAAACTTGGAGATCGGCAGCTCCACCAGCACTTCGCCAACGGCAGGCAGATCGTCGAACGCCATTACACGACCCGCATAGGATATGGTTATCTCTTGGGCCGCTGGAATTGCATCACCAATTTATTAGATGTTAAATCATAGATCTAAGATCAATGAAACCTTTTTAACAAAAAAATAAAAATAAAATTAAAATTTACTAAACCCTAAATCAATAAACTACACCTTGAGGCGAAAAACGGTGAAGGCGGCGAGAAGAGGGAGCTGGAGAGGGAGAGGTTCTCAAAGCGAGGATGACATTGGCGGCGATTCCGGTGGCTCCGAGATGCAGACCATCAGTTGGCGTCGGGAACCTCCCCACGAGCAGAAGATCAAAGCACGAAAGAATGATCGGAGGAGGGGAACAAGCTGCGGCTGAGGCGGAGGGGAGCAAGCCGCGGTCAATAGGCAGAGAGGAGGATGGGCGCCGAAGAATGATATGATTTGCTTCTAGAAGGGCCCGAAGGGGGAGGACGGGGGAGGATTAAAGCAAGAGAAACTAGATCTGGGATGTGTTTGGTGTTTTACAGAGATGCAGATGCTTTAGGCTTGGGAATTTGTAGAGATGTGTCGCATCTTATCTTTTGGAATTAAAATATTGAAAAATTCGTAATTAAGAACCCACAAATATAGAAGTGGACTGAAACTTTTCAATTCGTACTATGGGAAATAAAAAAACATGTGGTGGTCCACCGGGTAATTATCTCCAGATGCTTTAGGCTTGGGAATTTGTAGAGATAATTAAGAAGTGTCGCATCTTATCTTTTGGAATTAAAATATTGAAAAATTCGTAATTAAGAACCCACAAATATAGAAGTGGACTGAAACTTTTCAATTCGTACTATGGGAAATAAAAAAACATGTAGTGGTCCACCGGGTAATTATCTCTTAAATTATGTGGGTGAATGAATAGTAAATTGGTTTGATATGTAGAATGATTGATTGATATTATTTATATATATTGATAATATTGAGAATAGTTGTCTGAATATCATGTTTTGTGCAAATTTTGAGCCCAATGATACATTTCTAGTCGCACTTGGATGTGAATGGACACACCATAAAGTAAGAAGCACCTAATAGACACTAGAGGCTGCAACCCATAGCGGGTCTTGACAAGACTCGCGCCTAACATCCGAAGAAATGTCACAACCACAATAAGAGTCGCATTGGCCTTGATAGATCCAGGCATGCCCCGCGAACCGCGAGTCCCAACGTACTAGTTCAGGCCCCAACGAGCCTCCAACAAGGTATATCGTCCTCAATGAACCATTTTTGAGTTTTAGCATGCCTAGTGATATAGCGTACAGAGTTCGGTCCTAAATCGAAGCCCTTGTAGACCGGAGCTCCCTTAGCTCGACTTAGAAGCAATAGATTGGATATGCCGAGATAGCTCCCTGAGGTTTGGAGGTCGGCTTACCGACCTGTGGTCTAGGAAACTTGAGTCCTCGATTAGCAAGCTGGAGCCAAACGAACGCGTTAGGCTTTAGAGAGAGATTCCTCGCTTGAGAAGGCGACATAGCGAACTGATAGAGACGTTGATCGTAGGACATCTAACATAGATATAATTGTCGAGATATAATGGATTTGAGAGATATGTAAGGAGATCTAACTTAAGAAGATATAGGAATATCTAGTTTACTTGGAGGAATAGAATTCATGTAGGACAAGGTAACTATTTCGTATAAGGCAAAGGTATGATCGTCATACATTACACTTTTTATGCATTATCATGCATATTCTATACACCAAAGGGACTGACTTGATCGTCAGAGGCCATACATCACGAACCCTTCCAATACTTTTTTAGGTGCTCAGACAAGGACAGACGAGATTCACAAATCCAAATGAAACTGGTCACTTCAATTGGGGTTATTTATTCCCTATCACCTAGTTTACAGCTGGAGCTCGTTTGGCTTGCTGAGCATTTATCATATATCGAATGTTCCTGAGTCCAACAATCTTTAAACTACTTAAAATTAAGTTTGAGCTTCAAACTTATATTTTTTTGTTAGACCTAATTTATCATTTAGTCTAAAATGATTTTGAGAACTATTTAAGTCTTCTATTTATAAAAAAACATAAATTGTAAAATATGTAGATTTTTTTTTTTTTTTTTTTT